TGGGGGAGGGGAAGGGAAGTAAAGGGATCAAGGGAGCCTATAGGTTGAGAAGTAGTGTCCGGAACCAAAATGTAATTCTTTTTTACTCAAAAAACTAAAATGTGTGAAAGAAATAAGCAGTAACCATAATATATATAACGCCCTTTTAAAGGGCGATATACCTTAACGACCGTTTGCCAGTTAAGTATAGCGCCCTTTTAAAAGGCGCTATATGTGAACGTCAGAAGAGCGGGAAGGTTTAGCGCCCTTTATTAAGACGTTGTACTATAGCGTCTTAATAAAAGGCATTATACCTATATAAAAAGTTGTCCCTTCCCTTTCCCCACCAGGAGAGAAATTATTTTCTCGCTCCTCATTCTCCTGTGGAGATAAGTTTAGATCAGGCCAAACTCTTTCAGCCGGAACTTGTTCGACTAAAACTGTTCCAAAATAACTACCCGATGAATGAGGGATATCCCTACTTTGCGCAACCTCATTATTGCGAATGTCTTCAGTCTTGACGTACATTTCCAATATTTTTATCACAAGAAATTTTCGGTATTCATCCGGAGTCCTCAAAAAATTTCTCAGAGTTTCATCGTCTTCGATGTTAAACTCAGCATAACAAGCAACCCCTTACGGAATGATAAAATACAGATATCTTTCGGTTACTTTAATATTCACTGAACGTTTGCTCACACTCATTTTTTTACATAACAACGATACCAATATATCGTACTCCATTGTAAGTGAAAACTTAACATGACACTGTGGAGATAAACTATAGCTCACAGAGTTATTCGCCACCACGACCTCACCCCCTAATATAATGAAACCCTTATTCTTCGCTCTTCAGACATTATGACAAAATGCAAAATAACTTAACAAGGAAATATTTCAGAAGACTTGAGAATGTTTATGAATGAATTTTTACAAAATCCATGACCTCTTTAAATAAGCCAAAAACTAGTCCGGGGGTACAATTATTTGAGGTATAACGCCTTAAATATGGGCGCTATACCCAGTTGAATTATTGTTATATCAGTTAAGCTCAGAAGAATTATAGGTGGGCCTACATAATATATATATAGTGCCTTTCAAAAGGTCTTTATATATATAGCTCCTTTTAAAAGGGCGCTATACTTAACCGGGCAAACGGTCGTTAAGGTATAGCGCCCTTTAAAAGGGCGTTATATATATATTATAGTCATTGCTCATTTTTTCCACACATTTTGGTTCTTTGAGTCCAAAAGAACCACATTTTGGTTCCGGACTCATTGGGTCATGGAACATAGGTACTTTGACGGGTAAGTCTATAGAGCTGGCGAAGATTCTCCAGAAGAGGAAGGTTAATATAGAGTATGTCCAGGAGACTAGGTGGGTAGGTTCGAAGGTGAGGGATACGGACGAGTATAAGCTGTGGTACTTTAGAGTTTTGAAGGGTAAGAATGGAATGAGTATTTTGGTGGATAGGGATCTTAGAGAGTCTGTGGTAGAGGTTAGGTGGGTGAATGGTAGATTAATGACTATCAAGCTAGTGGTCGGAGAGCACACCATTAATGTCGTTAGCGCTTACGCAACATAAACGGGCTTGGATGAAGAGGTTAAAAGGCGCTTTTGGGAGGGATTGCATGAGATTGTGCGTGGTATTCCGCCTACTGAGAGGTTATTTATAAGAGGGAATTTCAATGGTCATATTGGGTCGACTTCTGGCGGCTTTGGTGAGGTGTATGATGGCTTAGTTTTGGGGATATGAACGGAGGAGGTACTTTGCTATTGGATTTCGCTAAAGCTTTTGAGTTGGTGATTGAGAACTCTAGTTTTCAAAAGAGGGAGGAGCATCTAGTTACTTTCCAAAGTGCGGTGGCAAAGACACAGATTTATTATCTCCTTCTCAGGAGGTGTGATATAGAGGGATGTGCAAGGATTGCAAGGGTATACCGTGGGAGACCCTGGTGATGCAACATAGGCTCTTGGTGATGGACGTCAGTATCATGATAAAGAAGAAGAAGAGGTGTATTCGAGGCCAACCGAGGATCATGTGGGGAGCCTTCACTAATGTTAAAGCCAGGAGTTGGAGGGGAGGTTATCGGATATGGGAGCCTGGAAGAGTAGTGCGGAACAATGTGGACAACGATGGCGAGCTTTATAAGGAAGGGGACAAGAGTGGTGTTAAGGGTCTCGAAGGGATACTCCGGCCGGCACAAAGGCGACTGATGGTAGAATGAAGTGGTCCAAGGTAAAGTGGAAGCAAAGAAGGTGGAAAATCTGAAGTTAGTAGGTAGCACAAGCGATGAGGAGAGGAAAGAGAACAAAAAGTAGTATAAGGAAGCTAGGAAGGAGGCGAAGCTGGCAGTCATGGAGGCTAAGACTGTGGCGTTTGGTCGTCTGTACGAGGAACTGGGGGAGAAAGGCAATGAGAAAAAGTTATTCTGATTGTCCAAGGCAAACGAGAGGAAGGCTCGGGATCTGGACCAAGTGAGGTGTATCAAAGACGAGGCCATCATAGTATTGATGAGAGAGGAGTTGACATACTTACTTTCATATACTTTTGAATGAAGAGGGGGATCAAGACATTGTGCTAGGTAAATTAGGCACTCTGAGAGTCACCGAGACTTTAGGTACTGCAGACGCTGTAAGCTCGGGGAGGTCGTGAGGGCTATGCGTAAGATGAGGAGGGGTAGAGCAACCGGACCAGACGAAATTCCGGGAGCATTTTGGAGGTGTGTGGGTAGAGCAGGCTTGGAGTGGCTGTCTGGGTTGTTTAATATTATTTTCAGGATGAAGAGGATGCCCGATGAGTGGAGGTGGAGCACGGTGATTCCGTTATATAAGAACAAAGGTGATATTAAGAGTTGTAACAACTGTATGGGTATCAAGTTACTAAGTCATACTATGAAAGTCTCGGAGAGAATAGTAGAAGTGAGGGTGTAGAGGACGGTATCTATATCCGACAACCAGTTCGGGTTCATGCCAGGTCGTTCAACTACAGAAGATATCCACCTTATTAGGAGGTTGGTGGAGCAGTACAGGGATAAGAAGAAGGATTTGCACAATGTATTTATTGAACTAGAGAAAGTGTATGACAAGGTCCCTAGAGAGGTTCTTTGGAGATGCTTGGAGGTTAAAGGGGTGTTGGTTGCCTACATTAGGGCGATTAAATACATGTATAATAGAGCTAAGAATCGGGTTAGGATAGTGGGAGATGACTCGGAGCATTTTTCGGTTGTTATGGGATTACATCAAGGATCTGCGCTCAGCCCGTTCCTATTTGCCTTGGTTATGGACTCACTGATACGCCATATTCAAGGGGAGGTGCTATGGTATATGTTATTCACTGATGACATAGTTTTGATTGATGAGACGTGAGACGGAGTTAATGAGAAGTTGGAGGTTTGGAGACATATCTTTGAGTCTAAGGGTTTCAAGTTTAGTAGGACTAAGACGGAACACCTGGAGTACAAGTTCGGCGCAGAGCCGAGTTAAGCGGGCGCGAAAGTGAGGCTTGAATCAGAGGTCATCCCCAAGTGAGGCAGATTCAAGTACCTTGGGTCGGCTATCCAGGGGGATGGGAAGATTGACGAGGATGCTACACACCGCATAGGCGTGGGTGGATGAAATAGAGACTAGCATCTGGAGTACTGTATGATAGGAAAGTGCCTCTGTCACTCAAAAGTAAGCTTTACAGAGCGGTGGTTAGACCGACCATGTTGTATGGGGCTGAATGTTGGTCATTGAAGCACTCACATGTCCATAAGATGAAGGTAGCATAAATGAGGATATTGAGGTGGATGTGCAGGCACACTAGGATGGATAAGATTAGGAATGAAGATATTCGGGAGAAGGTGGGCATAACTCCTATGGATGACGAGATGCGGGAAGCGAGGCTCAGATGGTTCGGGCACGTACGGAAGAGAAGCCCAGATGCCCTGGTAAGAAGGTGTGAGTGGTTGGTTTTGGCGGGTACGAGAAGAGATAGAGGGAGACCTAAAAAGTATTGGGGAGGGAAGATTAGACAGGACATGGTGTGACTTTAGATTTTCGAGGACATGGCCCTTGATAGGAAGGTGTGGAGTTCGAGCATTAGGATTGTAAGTTAGAAGGTAGTTGAGCATTGTTCTACTTTGTACATGTGTGAGGCTAGTCTAATCGGGTTTTTTCTTATACTGCTAGTGGTTCATGTTGTGTTCGCACTATTCTGTAGTTTTTCTTTGTACCGGACCTTATCTACTGATTATTGTTAATGTTTTGCATCTATTTTCTGGTTGTTATGTTGCTGTTATTATTTCTATCATTTTCTATTGATTACTGATATATAGTCTCTCCTTTCGTCTTCTTGAGTTGAGGGTTTACCGAAAACAGTCTCTCTACCCCCTCTGGGTAGGGGTAAGGTCTGCGTACACACTACCCTCCTCAGATCCCACTTGTGAAATTTTACTGGGTTGTTGTTGTTATACTCTTTAACTAGAGTCCTTACTTTTTTCTCATTTTAACAACATGTGCTAGCCCTTTTTGTTATTTGTGTGAGATAGTTGTCATCCATTTTCATTTCTATTTTGATGTCTTCTACTCTTTCTTGGTTGAATCTCTTCATCTAAAAGATGGTAAATTTCTCCTCAAGTAGGCTACACTTAACACCGTTTGCAAATAGCTGGTGTGTACTCAACAGTCGCCTTTTGTGTGCTTTACTTCGGCTCTGTTTCGGGTCTTTTCATTATTACTTCGTCTCACTTTTATCTTTTGGTTAGATTTTCTATTTGCTTTTTCTTTTCACCTCTTTCGTACGTGTTACTTGTGATCCACTCTCAATCCACATTCATTGTTGAGTGGAAGAGGTCGTTGGAAGAATAGTACCCAATTATGAGTCGAAGTCGATTTCCTCAGGAAATTAAGAATGAGTGTTAAAGTGTACACTTGATATGTGTAGAAAAAATAGCCTAAATACACTAACAATCAAGCTGGTTTTGCAATTTACTTTTATAAACTACACTATCAATGATTAATTAGAGAAATGAAACTAGAAATTGACTAATTATTTTTAGTTGTTTTCAAATAGGTAAAAAACCTAGAGATGTAACCTTCGCCTAGGTGTTAACCTAATGGGTTAATTACGCTAACACTTATTTTAGTGATTGGAGTGTATGATAGCTCTCAATTCTAAATTACCTACTCAATATCTCTCGGTCATAGAGTGATTTTGCCTAATTTGATTTTTTCATGCCCAAATGGGTATCAAACCAAATTGTTGATATGAGCTCAAGTCGGATTTTCCCTATCTCTAGTTCAAACCCTTTAATTAGGCTAATCAAAAGCTTAACTAACCCAATTTCTTGTTAGCCAAGTTTTCCTAAACTAGTTATTTCTTTCTCAAGTAAAGACCAAGCCAAAAAGGCATGAATCAATGTTTGCAACCATTAATTCTAAAATTAAAGCTTGAACAAGGCTAAATAACAAATACCCAATCATAAACAAGCATTAGATTAATTACCCATAAGGTTTACACACTAGAGTTGAGTCACAACCCTAGTAAATGTCTAGCTACTCATAGTAGAAATTGGAGAAAATAAAGAAGAAACACTAATTAAAGCCATAATATAAAATTAAAATGATAAACTATGGTATTTTTGTCTTCACAAATTTTCCAAAATGGTAAACTACAATGGCCACAGCTCAAAAAAACTACAAAACTTAACCTAAAAAAGTGATTTTCGTCTATTTATAATAGTCCAAAATTCGCTGACAAAAATGTCATTCGAGAGGTTTTGCGGCCGCACAATTCCATGTGCGGCCCGCACTTTGCTTGAATGTGCAGGTTGAGAGATTCTACAGTCGCACAATTTGATCTGCGACTGCACTTCAGCTTCTGCGGCCGCACAATTCCATGTGCGGTCCGCACTAGAGGCAAGGCTTCAATCTTGGTCGTTTTGCACACTCTCCGAACTTTTTGAATTCTTGTCAATGCGACCATATTTTGCGGCCGCACAAATTGTGTGCGGTCCACACTTCTCTTCAATCCACCTCTAAGCTTCTAACACCTCAAATATATTCTCTCAGCTTCTTCAGATATAAGCATTTTGATGATCCGACTTTGTAGATATGTCCATAATCCGATAATGCTTTCAATTTTACTTCGCTTTAGATGCATTATGAACGGAAAGCTTGATATAACAGGTATTGTCCGCTTGATGAAATCTTTTAATTCACAACCACTCCAGCCTTTCTTTGGTGGAGACGAGACACTTCATGGACCAGTGGTGATTGGTGTGAGTTGGAGTTAATTGATTAGCACCAAATTAATAAAGAGTCGCAGGTATATAAGTTTTCTTCTAATTTTTTATGCAGCTACCAATAAGTAAACGCTCTATTTCATGTCATTGACCATCTTTTATTTGGAAACTGGGACTTACTTTCCCAATTGATATGTGCTTCATTTCCGGACTTACCCCAAATGTCGCTATAGATGAAACTGGAATTCTGAGAAATGATGGTGCTAGGCATAAAGTTTAATTGGTTAGTTTTTGCTAGATATCTATATTAATTCCTTATTCACTTGAAATTCAAAAGGTGATACACGATAGTATCTGCTCATTTCTTTTAAAAAAATAGCATATTATAATGCTCTCTGATGTGTAATTAGATAGCACATGTGCTTTGTCTACAATCCCTTAAAGTTAGTTAAATCATTAGATATGTTCAAAGATTAATACTATGCATAAGATGTTTAGGGAGTTTGAATAAGTAAGGTGTATGAATGCAGAAAAAGAGAAAAATATCTAAGCTTTCTCTTTAGACAAATAGAATATGTCCGTGATAATGAATGCAACATTTGGACTAGCAGAAGAGAAAGCGAAAACAAATGCATTTCTAAGGCAAGGACTAACATACATTTATTAATTTGTGCAGATCAAAACAATCTTTTTGATCTATGTTAATGTTCATTGAATGTATTTATTCATTTTATCTTTTTTATATGATAATAATATACTATTTGAACTGAAGTAACTACAGGTTCAAATATTAACATATTGAATGCTAACTTTTTCCATCTCAATTTTAATTCTGAATTTACAGCAGACAAGTAAGTTGAGCACTTTTTGCACAAAAAACTATCAATTTTTTTTTTCTTCTTTAAGATGATTTATCATTTAGTTATGCGCTCCCTTGTTATTCATTTCCTAGAAATTACAGAGTCATGATTCAAGGAAAATAAATGATGGTTTCTTGTGGAAAGCTTCTGCTGGTTGCTTATTTTTTTCTTTGCAATTTCTCATGCACCTTATAGATAGTAGTGACAATGACGTCTGTAGAAAGTGATGGACCCTAATTGCCATACAAATATTATTTCAGTCGACATTTTATATTCAATCATAGATGCAGAGTACTGGTACGTACATTTCCTTAGTATGTATCTTTTCTGGTATTATAGTAAGAACTATCCGGTACTGAATACGTCTTTTCACTTTGTAACTGGTTGAGATCGTCTGTTATTTGGGGATTGATATTGTAGTGCATACAACCAAACTTTTAATAGGAGAACGCACATTGAGATGAGGTAATGTGATAGTAAAAAAAAGATCTTGACAAATTTGAGGGAGCTGGTTGATGATCAGAAAATTACTATCTATTGACTGGCTTAGGGAATAAGGAGTACATCATAAAAGAACCATGACAAGCATCAACAGGAATCCATGTCATGAAGCATTAGGCTATTCAAGAAAAGGTTTATTAAGGAAATTATTCCCCTCAAGTACCCGAGGTGTTGGAATATTATCCTCCCACAATAGAATGATTTAACTTACCAGTATATCGGTACCAAAAACGCTGGTGAACAGCGAACCACTTAATGACTGTAAATCACACCGGAATTTAATTGCGCAGAAGAAGGAGAAAAAGTTCAGAAAATTTTGTAAGGAAAGATTCTGGGATCAAGGCATATTTATAACTATTTTTTGGCATTGTTTCTGAAAAGTTTGCAACCTTTCAGAAACAGCCATGGCGATTGGAATAGGCGGGAACGATTCCCGTTTAAAATATTTCGGGAAAATAATTTAAAATAATTCGGAAAAAAATGGATCGGGTCGCGTCGCGGGTCCTGGGTTATTCCGGGTTGACTTTTCATTAATTAATTAAAGGAAATTTTGTCCAAAAAGATTAATCAACCAATCGATCTTTGACCGAATCCGAAGACGAAGCCGAGCGAGCGACGACGGCGAGGAGCGAGGTTTACCTTCTTTCCAACCCATTTAATACCAAGGGAAGTGCTTTCTCAATATAAGCACATTCCCTTTTCTTTCCACCACCAATGAAGGGAGCTCACTTTCCCTTCACATTTCTTCCATCCATTTCCCATTCACCAATCTTTTAATCACAACAATCCCCCACATGAATGGGGAATGGCTATAAGACAAAGGAATATACAAATGAGTGTGTGATTTACAAGCAAGGATTAATTGCATCTCGATAAGTATGTTTCCCTTTGAACTTTCCTTTAATGAACTTATATCGGATATACTCGGTCAATCGGTAGATTTGATATCTTTGAACCGTCGAGCTTTGGTGTATACCTAAACAATATAAGTCATACAATCAACCCTTAATCATCTATGGTTCTCAGTGTTATGTTCGTTTCATCTATGAACACCGTCTGATTTTATGAGTGCTTAGAGAATAAACCTTTGCTTTCATTCCCCTTGAAGCGACTTACACTTCACACTCACATAGGTGATTTCTAAACATATAATCCTATAGACACACTATCTGGTCATTTTCTGCCAGTTTTAGCAAATCATTAAAAACCTTTAAGCTTTATTGACTCATCAAAAAGCGTTAATGATTTACCTTGATTTCTGAACATTGTCATCATCACGAGAATGGGTTGAGTTATTTGACAATGTTGAACCTTCAGTCATAACTTTGTTTGATCTCTCTGAACCTAACTCTTGGGTTCTCCAGTCTGGTAGGTAGAGTTACTGCCATGATGACTTGTCCTAGGCCTTAATCACATTCCCTTCGATGATCTTTCATCCTCCTCTCTAGATAGGCCTTTTGTAAGTGGATCCGACACGTTATCTCTTGACTTCACGTAGTCAATTGTTATAACACCACTAGAGACTAGTTGTCTAACGGTATTGTGTCTCACTCGTGGGTGACGAGACTTTTCGTTATCACAATGTATACATATAGGTGCCAAAGGTTTGGGCCAAAATAGAATATCTTCCAAGAAATTCCAGATCCATTCAACTTCTTCACCGGCCTTGTCTAAAGCTATAAATTCATATTCAATTGTAGAACTGTTGATGCATGTTTGTCTGGATGATTTCCAAGACACTACTCCACCCCCAATTGTGAAAATATATCCACTCGTGGATTTAACTTCAGATGATCCGGTGATCCAATTTGCATCACTATGACCCTCAATCACGGAGGGATATTTGTTATAATGCAGAGCATAGTCTTAGGTATGTTTCAGATACCCCAAAACTCGTTTCATTCGCATCCAATGTATTTGATTGGGATTAGTTGTGAACCGACTCAGTTTGCTAATAGCACATGCTATATCTAGTCGCGTACAATTCATGATATATCAAACTTCCCAATACTCTTACATAGTCCAGTTGTGAGTCACTCTCACCTTCATTATTTTGAAGTGCATAACTCACGTCAATTGGAGTCTTGGCAATCTTGAAATCCAAATACTTGAATTTGTCAAATACTTTTTCAATGTAGTGAGACTGTGATAATGCTAGACCTTGCGGAGTCTTGTAAATTCTGATTCCTAAGATCACATCAGCAACTTCTAAGTCTTTCATGTCTAATTTGCTAGCTAACATGCGCTTAATAGCATTTATATCTTCCATATTTTTGCTCATATCAACACGTCATCAACATATAAACAAACAATGACTTCATGACCTGGAGTATTTTTAATGTAACACACATTTATCACATTCGTTGATTTTAAAAGCATTTGCTAACATTGTTTGGTCAAATTTAGCATGCCATTGTTTGGGCACTTGTTTAAGTCCATAAAATGACTTAACAAGTTTTCACACTTTCTTTTCTTTACCAGGAACAACAAAACCCTTAGGTTATTCCATATAAGTTTTTTCCTCCGATTCTCCATTTAAGAAAGCTGTTTTAACATCCATTTGATGGATTTCAAGACCATACACGACCGCCAGTGCCACTAACACCCTAATAGATGTTTTGCTTGTTACTGGCGAGTAAGTATCAAAGTAATCTAGGCCTTCCTTTTGTTTATAACCTTTGACAACAAGTCTTGCCTTATATTTGTCAATAGTGCCATAAACTTTTATTTTCCTCTTAAAGATCTATTTCGAACCTAAAGTCTTATTTCATGGAGGAAGATCAACCAATTCCCATGTATTATTATCCAAAATTAATTGAATCCTACTATTGACTTCCTCTTTTCAAAATATTGAATCAGAAGATAACATAGTTGCTTTGAAAGTTTGAGGCTCACTTTCAAGCAAGAATGTCACAAAATATGGTCCAAAGGAAGTAGATATTCTTCGACATTTCCTACGCCTTTGATCTTCTTCACTTGGAGTATTTTCCTTTAGTTCTTCCCGTGGTCGTTTAGGTCTTTCACTTGACGACTCACATTCAATTTTATACGGATAGGTCTTTTCTAAGCATTCGACATTATCCGATTCAAATACTATATTAACATGAATTTCGGGATTATCAGATTTATGAACCAAAAACCGACATACTTTACTGTTTGTAGCGTATCCAATAAAAACACAATCCACAGTTTTTGGTCCATTTTTACCTGTTTGGGTAAAGATACCTGTACCTTTGCTAAAGACCCACACACTTTGAAATATTGCAAGTTGGGGTTTCTTTCTTTCCATTTTTCATATGGAATAGATTGTGTTTTATTGTGGGGTACTCTATTGAGTATTCGGTTAGCTGTAAGGATAGCTTCCCTCCCCCCTCAAACTATGCGGTAAGCCGGAACTTATTAATAAAGAATTCATCATTTCCTTTAATGTTTGCTTTTTTCTTTCCACAATTCCATTAGATTGAGGTGTGTAGAGGGCAGTAATTTGATGGATAATTCCACATTCCGAACATATTTTGTAAACGAAGATTCGTATTCTCCACCCCTCTGTAATGACCCGACTTGTCATTTTAAGAATTAACGCCCCGTTCAGCGACTTAAGGTCCCGAGCAACTTCGTAATATGTATTATGACCCGCGGGTGTGGTCGATTTTGATTTTTGGAGTATTCGAAATTTAATTAAAAGAACAATTCTTATTTAGAAGCTTAAATGAAAAGAGTTGACCGGAGAGTTGAGTTTTGAGCAAACGACCCCGGAGTAGAATTTAGATGATGGAAATAGTTTTGTATGATGATTTCAGATTTAGGCGTATGTTCGGATTTGGATTTGGAAGTCCGTAGGACAATTCGACGCATTTTGGCGAAAGTTAAAAAATAGAAGATTTTTGGAAAGTCCGACCGAAGGTTGAATTTTTGATAACAAGGTCGGATTTCGATTCCGGAAATTGGAATAGCTCC